CAGCCGTCATTGTTGTTTGGCGGGTCCGGGCTGGGGATTTGAACCCGCCACTTTAGGTGTACGTGGCTGGCGCCTTAGCCGGTTGAGCTATAGGCGCCGAGCCATAATGTAATTTTTTTAAGCACTGGGAAACCAAAAGTTCGTGTGACTTGCTTCACCGTGAGATTCGCTTTACTATGGTGTTCTAGAACCAAACCTGCAATGATTCTGAGCTATGCCTGTATTTATCCTGGGCAACATAGCAAGACCCTATCTCTTAAAAAAAGAGATATGTTGTTTGCTCTGTCTCTCTCACTAGATTAGAATGTCCCAAAGGCAGGATTTTTGCCTGTTTTATTCAGACCTCATGTGGTGCCAGTGCTTGGTAAATACTGCCTGACATTCTGATTTCCCAATTTACAAACCTAGTTTCATTTGCTTCCTGTTTAAGGGGAGGGATATTTTTTAAAGATGAGACAGGTACCTTTGATAGAACTAGTGACTTACACAAAGCAGAGGGGAAGGGGCTGGATCCCAGATCCTAGTGACACCAAAGTTCTGCCCTTTGTCCTGTTCCATGCAGCTCCCTGAGGGCTGGGCTGGGTAAAGCTGGGAGGAAGGGGTTTTGAGATTGCCAGAAACTTGCTAGGAATCCCAGGCAGAGGGTACTGGGGCAGAGGCAGGCCTGCTAGGGCCTGGGTGAGGACTAGGGCAGAGGTAGGTCCAAGGGACTCAGCTTGGTAGGGTGGATCTCACTCACTGGGCACCAGCCTTTTGCCCTAAAGAGCCTCTAGACAGCTGTACCTGGCCTGGATGCTGGTCCCTGGGGATTGAACAGGGGTGACAAAGGTGGTAGGAAAGGAAGTAGGGGGGAGGAAGGAGGAAGGGCCAGGTCTGGGGCTTGGGAGGAGATAAAGGCCTCTGAAGTAGGGAGGTCTGGAAACAGATGCAGGTGGGGGCCAAGAGCATGTGGCCAGCTCCCTGAGGGTCTGCATAAAAGAGCAGACATTGCACCAATGACCACAGTGTGTCAGGCACTGGTCTCTTTCTGTGCTTTATGTGAAGTGAAGTAACTTGTGTCATCTGCCCCAGAACCCATGAGGGAGGGCCCATTATCATCCCCTTTTGGCAGATAAGAAAACTGAGGCATAGAGAGGGTGCGTGGCCACCTGGGATCCCATAGCCAGCCAGAGGTGGCTCCAGTGTGGTGCTGCTGGTCTCTGCTGTCTTTCTGTGTGTTGATCCTTCTCTGTTTCTGGTCAGGCATGAGTTTGTCTTTGGGGTTCACATCTATGTCTGCACACATGTAGACTAGCTTGTGTTCTTGGCTTGTGTTTGTGGGTGGGCATGTTGACATTTTTTCTCAGTCTGTACATGTTCATATTTTTTTGGTATGTTTGAAGGTATGCAAGTGTCACAGCCTATGTGTTTCTTAGCCTATGAGTGGATGTATGTCTCTCATTCCTCTTAGCCTGTGAGCCTGTGTGGGCATGTGTTTGTATACAAGTATGTACAAATACATATACACATTTGTGCGTATCCTGGTCTGTGTGTGTGTGTGTGTGTATTGGTTGAATATATACCCCTCCCCATTTGTTCAAGCTGGAACCCAGGCATCATCCTGGCTACATTCTCCACCCCCATCCCCATCCAATCCATCACCCTGTCCCCTCTACCCTCTAGAAACCCCTGGAACTAACCCTTCTCCCCTACTCCACTGCCTCCTCCCTGGTCTAGGCTGTAGCATCCTCTTCTGGATGATTGTGACAGCTCATTACATGGCTCTGATTTCACTGCCTTCAATCTATTGTCCCTATAGTAGCCAAAGGATTCTTCTAAAAATAAATCCGATCACACCCATTCCCAACCCTTCAATGCCTCACTGCCTTGCTCTCAGGAGAGAGCTCCAAATCCTGGACATGGCCTTGAAAGCTGGGTACCTTCCTTCTCTTGTATTCTGCCTGCCCCGCTCCCTCTCTTACCATTCCTTCTGGCCCTCGTTGAGCTCCCGCTGTACTGCAATGTGCTGCTTCCTTGGGCCTCAAGGTCTTTGCCCAAGGTCCTCTCTGTCCTGCCCACCCTCCCTCCCACCCCCTTGCCTAGAGTTAGCCCAGCTCATCCTTGGGTCAGATGTCAGCACCCTGGGAACTTTCCCTCTTTTATTTTCTTGTTTTTTTTTTTCCAGTTGTATTTCTCATAATCTACACTTAGTCTTTTTTTGAATAGTATCTGTGTCCCTAGCTCAACTATGAGTCTGTCCTGCTTGCCACTGAGAGCTTAGCCCTGGCACAACTATGTTTAGCAATGGCTGCTGAAAGCATCTGTGTGATTAGAACCTTCTGGGCTCAGAATCAAGGTCAGGCTCATAGTACTTGTGAATTCATAAGGTCTGTCCTGAGGAAGCAGAAAGTGGCCATCTTTCTGTCCTCACTGGCCATGTAAGGAAGCCCAGGTAGCCTTGGTCGCTCAGAGTCTCAGTGTCATCATCTGGGAAATGAGGTGATACTGGCCTCAAATGAGGTGATATTAGCCTCATCCGGTTACTGGGAAGATCACACTGATGACAAGGACTGCTCTAGTCAGTCCAGATGCCCTTGGGGCAGAGTGAGGTGATTCACCCATATGAGGCCTGACACCAGGGCAGCCATCAGGAAATGACAGGCAAATCTTGGAGCTTGGGGGAATGAGCCTTTGTGAGTAGGTGGATCCCTAGGTTTATGAGTAGGACTGGCTAAGCCCTGTGCCCAAGTGGATTCTGACTCCTCATGTATGTATTATTAATATTCCTGTGTTATATAGCTCATGCATTCCTTCACTTATTAATTCAATAATAAATATTTGAGTCTCTATATGCCTAGCATACCAGGCTCTGGAAATACAGGATAAACAAGGTAGACATAGTCCTATTCTTAGGAAGCTCACTGTTATAGGGGACTAAGAATAATAAAACCTCCATCTCCTTGCTGTGTGTCCATGCCCAACACTCTACACTCAATCAAACTGCACAACAGCCTCGCGAGCATTCCTGTCATCATACCCTTCTAGAACTTGTAAAGTTGAGGCAGGGAAAGAGGGAGCCTGTTGCCCAGAGCATCACAACTCAGAGCCTGAGGAATGAAGACTCCTATGCCTTCTTAACTACAGTCTGTGTTTCCTCTGGGTATGTGTTAGTGTCTTCCTGTGTGACAGTGAGTGCCCTTGGGCTCCAGTCTGAACTCCAAGCCTTTCTGAGTTTGTGTGTGTGTATGTTTGTGTCTGGAGCCAATGCCAGTTCTACCCTTGGCTAATGATGTTCTATAGCAGGGAAAAGGGTGAGTTTGAGATTCTAGGGGCTCAGTGCTCATGCCAATTTCCTTCCTGCAAAGAACTTCTCACGGGTCCTCCCAGATTGATAAATACTCATAACTGAGCAAGGACCTCCTCCTGCCCGAGAGTTGCAACATCTCTGTTGGTCTGCCTTCTGAAATCTGGAAATAATGTGACACCCTAGAGAACCCAGGTGACAGCCCTACTTTCTCCCAAGGGAGGGCATGGAGATCTGAAAGCAAGGTAGGGCTCCCTTGTGCTGGAAGCGGTGGGGGTCAGGAAGCTACACCTTAGTGGACCTGGCTAAAGCCGGTGGACTGACAATGAATGAATGGACAGATGAACTGACTCACGGGTGGGAGGATGGGGCCCCACTGCACTCCTAACTACCAATATCCCTTTCTTGTACCTTTCCCTGACTCACCCCTAAACGTCCTCTTTGGGTAACAGCACCTATACCCTTTCCTCATTATCCTCTTGAGAGCACAGGAGACCAGAAAATCGGCGCCTGAACAATTTCCCAGGCGGGAAACACGGAATGCAACAGTTGCCCTTGGTCACACAGGAAATACGGAACCGGAGCGGGAACCTTGGTCCAAAAGACTTGAATTCCAGACTCTGCTCTCAAGCCGGTACGGCGTCCAGTAGTCGCTACGCTTGAATAGGACATTCTGTTCTTAGATCACCCCTTCTCACAATGGATTAATCCTGCCCCTCCCCCCCCCCCACAGAGTGGTACTGGGCCACTTCACGGGCTCCCCTACTTCTAGTGGCAGTGGGTCAGTCCACTCTGTCCCCAGTTCCCCGCAGGATGTACAAGGTTCCTTCCGGGCTGCTGCCAGCCCCGCGCGCTCACCTCTGGCCTTGCCTTTACGCCACCGCTGGCGACTGCGGCTCCTCAACCCCTCTTTGGCCCTCTTCGAGGCCGGGGCTCCAGGAACCCGGGCAGACTCCGTTCCCTCGGATGACTCCATCAATTCTCCGCGGTCCTCACGCTAGCGACAATTCCATCCGCCAGGCCGGGCCTCGAGGGCCAATCCTGGCTGCACAACACCGCTGGGCCAACATATCTCCCAATCATGGGCTGGCTCCTCTGTGGGCCCCGCCCTCTGTGCAAGCTGGCTTCACTCCACGGCCGGGCCCCGCCCTCAACCACTAGGACATAAGGCCTAGTCCCGCCCCCTTGCAAGTCTTAAAGGGCCCGCGGCCAACAAAAATGCAGCCCTGGAGGCGGCGAAAAGCGTCCTTCTTGGCAGGACTAGTCCGTAGTCCCTAGGGTACCACGCCAACAGAGAAAGCTCCAATCTTCTTAGGTGCTGGTGCTCAGGCTCGCCATCCTGCTCACCTTCCCACAGAGGGATCCCCTAGAATGTGGCCTGGCCTGCTTACCAGGAGGAGGGGGCATCCGCTGAGCCTCCACCTGGGGGCAGGGGCGGGCCAGGTCCTCTGGCAACTCGAAACTGGATTGGTCGCAAGCACTGGAGACGTAGCTTGTGCCTGGGGAAGCCCCGCCTTATGCATTCTAGGGCCTCTGTTACTCTCTTTCTGCGGGTTCTTTCCTCTCTCTGCCCTTACTCTCTCCTATCCCATCCCGAGAATGGAAGGGAGGCTGGGCGCCTGCGCACTAGCTTCAGGTCGAGGGCCGGCGGGCAGCGAGAAGAAAGTAGTGGGAGCGACGCGAGTTCAGGAAAAGGCGGGAAACAGAGGAAGGCGAGAAGCGTGCACATGCGCACACGGCCAACTTGCTTTAAGGGCGCCTGAAAGGTGGCTCCAGCCGCATCAGTGGCGTGGTGCAGGCGTCCTTTGAGACCGAGCTCTGGCTGACTAGAAAAACAGGTCTTCGTCCTCAGAGCCAAAAAAATCAGGCCTCAGACTCTTTGCACCCTGCCCTTCCTCGCTGTCAGAGCATACAACCAGCCCTGGCACTGACAGCCCAGCCATTCCTGGGTGGAAAGACCGCCATTACCCACTCTCGACTATGGTCTTACAGGTGCCCTCAGCTTCAGGGCTGGGGCTGCATTTTTTCTTCCACCCTCTCAGGCTACTTCAAAAAGTAACTCCCATCTCATGGTCACGGCTTGTATCCCCCCTTTCTCCATAACAGGGATTTTGAGACTAGAGAAGGAGGCTCAGAGCCTGAGCACTACTGAAATGGAGCCTGCACCCAGGGGGACCATTGCTTGCCTCAGAGGGGCCCCAGGAAGAGTCAGCCCTGAGTCTGGGGCCCATCACTCTCTGACACTGCTCTCACAACTTTCCTTTCATCAGGCCCCCCACGGCCCCTCCTTCTGAGAACACAACAGGCTCAGCCATTTCACCTGGCAGGACAGAGAGTCTCTTCCGGAAGCAGTGGGGCAGAGGAGCAAGTGTCTTCCTGGCAGCAGAGGACAAATCTAGTAAACTCAGAGACTGTCACTGCCCGATTTTCTGCCTAGTCTGCATGGAAATTCCAGGAGGGTAAGGTCCCCATTCAGCGCTGTATTGCTGGTGCTTAAGCTAGTGTCTGCCCCAGCCTTCCTGGTTTCCTGGTCCCTAGCTTAGAGCGCTTTCCCACCTCTGTTTGATATTCCCCAAATCCTCAGCAGGAAGGCAGCCTAGTGCAGGGGGAGAAAATCAGACCTTGGCTTCAAATCCTGGCTTTGCCACTACCTAATTACAAGCCCAGTGCAAGATTCTTTATTTTTATGCAGAAGGGTCCTTATCCATAAAGTGGGAATGTTGCTATTTATCTCAGGATTAATGAAGGATGACTAGAGCTAATCTGATATCCTGTAAATTTTTAGTATTTCTTAAATGAATGGATGAATGAATGAATGTCCCTGGGAGGCTACAGTTCCTCCAGGTTCAAACTCACCTGTGTCCTGGTAGTGTCTATGATTCTGGGCACTGGTTTTCTTCACATGTGGCAATGTCCCACAATATCCTGATGTTCCTTCATATCTAGATTTCTTTCTGAAAGCTAGCTTCACTCCCTGGGCCACTGTTCCATCCTTCTTTGAAGATGACCACATGTTTGATTCTGAGTCAGTATCTGTGACCCAATCAAAAAATGTCTTCCAGTCTAGGCTTGATCGCTGTGTGGATAGTTCCTGCAGTTTTGTTAGAAATCCCCGCTCAGTTAAACATCCCTGCCTGGCTCCCCGGATTGGAGTTGTTTTTTGGGCTGTAGGGTTTGATTGTTCAGGTCTCTCTTGGCCTGTAGATTCAATCTGAGCAGGTGTTCCCATTTTGGGTCCAGGATTAGCCTGGGCTGTAAGTGCTGATTCAGTTTCTTGTTGAGTTAGAGGTGGCTCTACTCGCCCAGGTTCTGGCTGGACCACATGTCTCTCTCTCAATTCTGATTCCTGTTTAGTTGTAGATTCTTTTCCTGGCCCAGGTCCCTGCTGGGAGGTAGCTTCTTGTTGGGTAAAGTGGGGACTCTTGATGGGAGGTGATTGGTGTGGTACAGCCTCCTGTGGGGCAAGAAACTCCTGCTGTGAAGCACATTTTTGTTGGGCTCTGAGTTCTTGTTGGGATTCAGCTTCATGTTGAGGAAGGAGCTCCTGTGGGGTGAGGGGTCTTTGTTGTGAAACAGGCTTCTGTTGGGTATTGGATCCCTGCTGAGTCTTTGATTCTGGGTCTGGCTGGGTTGTAAGTTCCTGGTGTGGCTCTGGTTCCCAGTCTGGCCTAGATACTGATTTAGAACCTGGCTCCTCTCTTTTTACTTCCCTCAAGGGAGATGTTGATCTCCCAGGGTTTATCATTCTGGGTTCCCCCGCAGGCTTTCCTCTTCACAGATCTTTCATTGATTCCTCATGATGGCACTTCCCTTTGGGCTCCACTCCTTCATCCTGGCATCCCTGATTTTCCTTTTTAAGGCAGCTGACAAGTGGGCCAACCACTTCTGGCCCCTACTCTGATGTCAAATTGTGAACTCTATGCCTCCAACTTTAGTGGGGAAGGATTAGGGATAAGAGGCTGTTTGCTCAGTATTCTTACCAGAGGGGAGGGGCTTGCCCTCTTGTGTCATAAATAGGGCCCCACCCCACTCACTACTCAATGAAAATGTTTCTTCTCATAAGACAAGGATCCCAGTTTAATGCTCTGTTTCATCTGGGATGACAAAAGTCAGATTCTGGACCCGAGTTCCTTTTTTTCCTCCCTTTGTGATATTTGAGGAAAGGACTATGGGGGAGGCAGTCTCTATAGTTGTTGCAATATAGTTTTCCTTTTTATTCATTCCTACATATGACTACCAGTTTAATCTCCTTATATGTCACTCTGATAATTTGTTCCCATGTTAAAAAATAAAAAGCCAAAAACCATGATGACCTCCCATTTTTACTGTTTGAAACCCTTCTGAATGGCATTTGCTATTCTCCACACCATCTCCTTAGCCCAAACTATATGGCCATTGATGATGATGATTGTAATTAAACACTGAAGGCTGCCAACGTGCTAGGAAACTGTTTTTTTTTTGACTTCTGTTATCTTTGATAAGAGCATGTTTGATTCATTGTTATACGTGCTTTCTTTGTCCCACTTAGCTCTTACCTCAGAAAGGTTTGTTAAATGAGTGAAGATTAGCAGGTTGGGCAGTGGTGAGAGAGTAAGAGTTGTAGTGGGGGAGACATATGTGTAGAATCTGGGTTGGGTTTGGAATGAACAGGGTAAAGTGGGTTATTTGGATTGAATGTGAGTTGGCAGACCCTATTTGAAAGAATTGATTTTGATCTATTACGTTAAAAGATATTCATTGATTTCTATTTGTTACTTTCCTGATTCAATTTAAGATTAAGTGAGACCAGCTAGGAAGCTGGGGTTTCCTGGATTATTTTTCTGATAATTAAGCTTAAGCCTGGGTAAAACATAGGAGGGCATAGGAGAAAAGTGACAAGCGAAGAAGGCAATAATCAAAGTGATCTTGGGAAAAATGCTTTTTAGAACACTGGAATGATTTAGGGGGTGGGTACAGGGACTGGGAGGATGAGGTGGGAGAATGAGACCATCTTCGAGGTAAGCTTACTATCTGAGGATGTGGGATTGGAAGAGTGGGCTCTGAGAACTATAAAGGCAGAGCAAAGCTTGCTAGCTGACATCGTTTGAGAAATTGCTGGCAGGCTCTGGAGTGCTTGTTTGCCTTCCTGTGGTGCCTTTGTTGTCCTAGGGTACAAATAAAAGGTAGAAGCAAGTGTTAAAAACATTTTTAAAATTTAATTTTTATGGGAGCTTTTAAAATTATAAAAGTCTGACTCCTCTACTAGATAGAATTAAAATCTAAAAATCCAGTAAAAAGTGAAAGGGTTTCCACCCCAACTTCTACAACCTGCTTCCCAAAGTCAACCACTGTTAATAGTTTGCTACATAATTCTTCCATATCTTTTGCTATATAAATGTACAAAACAAAAATGAGATTATATTATGTGTTGCTTTGCTTTGTACCTTTAACAGATCTTTTATTACTGGAAAATATTATGTATCTACAGAAGTTCCTAAAAATTTATAAAGCAGATAGTCATGAAACTACTACTTAGGCTTGGAAACAGAATTTTGCCAACAGCACCCTTCCTTTTCTAATCACTACAGTCCCTCACAGAAGTAATTCTGACTTTCTTTCTTTTATTGTAATCATTTACTTTTAAAAATTGTTTTACCACACACACACATAACACACACATGTATGTATGTGTATATATATGTATTCACATATATGTGTGTGTATATATATATGTATATATTCCTAAATAATTTAGTTAGATTTTTGCCTGTTTTTGAAACACACACACACACACATATGCACGTGCATGCATGCTGTGGTCTGAATGTTTATTATATTCCCCCCAAATTCATATGTTGAAATCCTAACCCCTATTAAAATGTGAAGCCTTTGGGAGGTGATTAAGGCATGAGGGTGGACTCATCATGAACAGGGTCAGTGCTCTTATATAAAAGAGGCTGAGGGATCTTAGTCATACCTACCATGTGAGGTTAGGGTGAGAAGGCCACTGTCTGTGAGGAACTGGGCCCTCAACAAACATTGAATCTACTGGCACCTTGACCTTGGATTGCCAGTCCCAATCTCCAGAACTGGGAGAAATAAATTTCTGTTGTTTAAAACCACCCCATCTATGGGATTTTATTATAACACTGTAAACAGACTAAGATAGTATATAAAATCATACTGTAGCTATTCTCCCATGTCTTGTCTTTTTTGTTTGTTTGTTTTGTTTACTCAGCACTATATTTGTAGGAGTCATTTATTTTGTTACATGTTTGTTCATTTTCACTGATATATAATATATCACCATTTATTTATTCATTCTTCTGTTGGTTGACTTTTGGTCAGTTTTCAGCTTGGGGCAGTTATAAGCAAAGCTGCTATGAAATTCTTGCATATGTTTTCTTGGTATACATAAGCATATGTGCATTCCTTTTGAATGTATACCTAAGAGTGGTAGACACAGAGTACACATAACAAACTTTTGTAAATAACTGTCAATACTTTTTCAAAGCGATTTACCCATTTATATTCCTGTTAGCAGAATATAAGTTTCTTTGCTCTACTCTCCCAGTGCTTGGTTTGGTCAGACTTAAAAATTTTTGCCAATCTGATGATTGGTGATATCTTACTGTGGTTTTAATTCACATTTTCCCAATAAAATAAGGTGGAGTGCCCTTTCATAAGTTTATTAGCTATTTGGATTTTCTCAGCTGTGAAATGGCTATTCAAGTCTGTTGTCTATTCATCTATTTTATTTCCTGCCTTTCTCTCCCTGATGTGTAGGAATTCTTCTTTCATTTTTTTCTGAGACAGGTCTTACTCTATCACTCCAGTTAGCAGTGGCATCATCATAACTCACTACAACTTCAAACTCCTGGGCTCAAGTGATCCTCCTGTCTCAGCCTTCCAAATGGCTAGGACTGTAGGTGTGTGCCACCATGTCCAGCTATTTTTCTTTTTCTATTTTTAGTAGAGATAGGGTTTTGTTCTTGCTCAGGCTGGTCAAGTGTTCCTCCAGCCTTGGCCTCCCAGAGCACTAGAAATACAGGTGGGAGCCACAGTGCTGGGCCTGTAGGAATTCTTTATACAAACATATATTCTGAATACTCATCCTTTGTAGGTTATATATGTTACAAATATCATCTCTTACTCTGTAGGTTGCCATTTTTTTTTGATAATCAAATTTTCTTAATTTCAATGAAATTCAATTTATTTAATCTTTTTATTTTATAGTTATACATAGTTTATGCGTTTTTATCTTGTTTAAGAAATCTTGTCTTATCTCAAGGTTATGAATACATTCTCTTATATTCCCTTATAAATTTTTCTTTGAAATTTATATCTGTATTCCACCTGAAATTTATTTGCATGAAGAATGTGAAGTAGGAGTTTTTATGTCTTTTTTTCCACTAATATATTGTGGATATCTTTCCAGTCAACATGTAATGGTTTACTTCATTACTTCTGACAACTGCTATTTGCCCAATTTGCCTGTGATGAACATTTCCTCCATTTATTTGTCATTACAAATACTACTATGATTAATATTCTTGTACATATATCTTTGAGTATCCATGCTAGTATTCTGTAGTTGAGATTTATTTATTTATTTATTTATTTTTTGAGACGGAGCCTCAAGCTATTCCCCTGGGTAGAGTGCCATGGCGTCATGCTCACAGCAACCTCTAACTCCTGGGCTCAAGCGAGTCTCCTGCCTCAGCCTCCCAAGTAGCTGGGACTACAGGCGCCCGCCACAACGCCTGGCCATTTTTTGGTTGCAGCCATCATTGTTGTTTGGCGGGTCCGGGCTGGGGATTCGAACCCGCCACCTTAGGTGTATGTGGCTGGCGCCTTAGCCGCTTGAGCCACAGGTGCTGAGCCTGTAGTTGAGATTTATTAAATTGAGGTAATTAAGTCAAAAGTACACTCATTTAAAATTTTGATAGGTACTGCCAAATTTACTTTATTTCCATTAACAGTGTATAATAAGGATCCTGGTCTATCCCATTCTTGATAATATCATAATATCAATCAGTTTAACATTGCCAATTTACTTTTTATATGACATTTAAAAACTGCTAGACTAGAGGAGTTTTTGAGAGGAGTCAAATTCTATTTGACACACTAGTTGTGTGCAGAAGTTGATAACCAGGTCCCCAGTAGCCCATCTCTTTCTACTTTGATAAGTAGTAAGTTTCTAAGATCTAAGAATTTGGTTAGATCTTGCTAGGATTGGGAGAATTGTATACTGCTTTTCTTGCTCTTCCTGTTTCCCCACAAGTTGACACTGAGTACAAAGGGCTGAGGTGTATGCTTATCTGGCTCTTCATTTCACCTCTCTTGCCTATTCTCAATACCTGTTTCATCCCTAGTGATTCCACAGGTCACTGTGGTCTAAGGAAGTTATTCTCTTGAAACTTACTGGTTTTCTTCACTTTGACTTTGAAACGATCACAGGGACACTGCTTCTTTGGCAGCCCAGGCACTGTCATGAGTTTTCTTTTAGGGGTTCTCAGGAACCAATCTGAAATAACAGGGTTGCTCCTTAGATGGGAAAGTTAGTATGTTTATCAGTAGGGAGTATGGTGGGCTCTACTTGCCATCTTCCATGGTCTCCACTTCCTCTTTCATACTGCTCTTTCCCTTCCCATGTTGCAATGGGAAAAGGGGTCAGCACAGAACAATGGAGACATCTAGCTATTTGAACACCAGGATTTCTGAATTGTTTTTCCTGACCTGAATGGGCAAGGATTTGGTGGCAGGTTTGAGAGGACATCAAAATATCATTGAGGAGGTAAAGGAGAAAAAGACCTAGGTCTGCCTTTTAGTGGCTGCTTTATTTTGAACAAGCCATTTGCCTTTCTGGTTTTAGTCTTTCCTATGAATACAATAAGGCTGAGAATAGAATCCAGGAAGCTTTTGGAAGGCCAGGAAAAAATAAAATGCCTTTTGGAAGGCAGCCCTAGGTTCTTTGGGAAAAGGGTAAGGAGGAGGTGGCAGCCTGAGACTTGGGTGGCTCACTCCTAGACCTTGGAGGAGTCTAGTTCTTGCCTGAGACTCAGGAAGAAAGCAGGCATTGGTCTTGCATGTGGTTGGCCGTTGGAGAGGGGAAAGGGCGAGGCTGGCTGAGATAATATCTGCACTGCTCTCAGAGGGGCCCGAGGGAGAGAGCTGGGGTCATAGTGGTGCCATTGCTGTTGTTGATGCTGAGTTACTGACCTTTGCACTCACATTCTTGGCTGCCTTGCTGGAGCCACCTTCCAGAAGTCTGGCTTTGTTCCCTGTGGCCTCTGGCGACCCCTGTTGGAAGGAAATAGGTCACTTCCAGTCACTGAAAAGACAATGGGACAGCAGAAATGGTCCCCTAGCCTTGTGCTACCTAGGTTAGCACAGCTCCATTTCTTCTTTTTTTTAACTTCTGGGATTTAATTTGCTTCAAGAGAGGAATATTTTAATGGATAAGGAATTGAGGTTTAAAATCTGGCCTAGAGAAAGAAAGCTTAACTGAAGGTAGGTGAAAGAATGGCTTCTAGGTGGAAGAGAGGACAAAGGGTAAGCATTTATAAAGATCTCACATCCTCCCGCCATACTCCACATTAAAAACCCAGTGACTTAAGAAGTGAGAGCAAAGAGCAGATTATTTCATGAACCAAGAGTTTCACTTGATCGTCAAGTTGCTGTATTTGAATCCACAATCTCAGTTCAACTATAAGAGGTTGGTATTTCCCTTTGTTCCTCTGGAACAAATACATTCTTCTTTATCCAAACCTGTTTTATTTTATGATCCCATCTTATCTCCATTTTTTGATATTTAAAATATTTTTATGAGAACTAAGTATAATGTTTTATAGACTTGAGATTCTCAAGTTAGAAGTGGGCCCAGATGGCACCTCCTCTCTGGAGTAATTTCTGATAGTTCCTGTCAGAATCAATTATGCCTTGTTAAAGCCCTAATCTCTAGGCTCGGCGCC